CGGTGTGAAAAGAGCCGGCGCTAAACCGAAGAACCGGTTCTGAACCAGAAAAGCTCTAGCACGGAGCTAGAAGGGGAAAAGCCTTGGTGTGAAAGGGGTATTAGAGAACTGCTGATCTGGGTCCTTAACTTGAAAAAAACAAAACAAGGGGGAGCTTGTGCCTGCTCAGAATTCTACGAGATACTCAGCTAAATAATGCCGTGATTAAATGCCATATCATGTTCCAAACACATCAAGGATTATATCTGAAACAGTATGGAGCTCAAATGCTTTTTCTCTTGCCGGTTTACCACAAGGTGAGTTCCTTTTTTTATTTCCAGCTTTTTTACACATTCTGGGTGTTTCTCAATGTCGAGGACGCTTCCTTGGTAGGACATGTCTTCCGAGTCACTTGCTTCAGAAGCGAGGCAAGAATCCTTCCTGGCATTCGGAAAACGAAGAATGGGACAGGCTAGCAAGTGTGCAGGTGTGCGTCATATGAGAGGCCCCGCCTTGAATTTTCCGCCACAGATTTTGGGAAATTGGTCCGTGCGCAAAGCATTGTGGGAATTTTAAGACCGCGGAGGATACACATGTGCAGCCTCGAAATTTCACGCTACGAAGGACGCCGGGCTCGGTAGAATTCCAAGGAGCCTGGACATTGGAACAGTCCTTCGGCGGGACACGATGACGTAGCATCCTTGAAATAGTGGCTCTGGAGCATCCTTCCTTGACATTGAGAAACACCCCCTCTCTCCAGTACAGGTTAGCTCTGAGTGTTAGCGATGCCTGCTAATGTAAACAAAGACCATATTACAGTCGGGCATTGTTTCTGATAGCAACGTTTCTGATAGTGCCGTGGGTGCACATTGCCGATATTACGTCATATCGGCTGCAAATCTGGATCAGCTCCGTTGTAGCCCCGTTTTTAGAGATTTGGGTACGGAGGAAAAGAGAGAGAGTTTTATTTTCTGACACTTTGTGAGTTCCCTGACACACCGGGGACACATATTTATAAAAGACATCAAAAAGTGCATTTGGCATGATAGGTCCCCCTTAAGTCCCATTTTTGGGTAGAAATCTCAGGTTTTTAAAGGATTTTTTAAACGTTAGGGGCTCAGTCTTTGAAATCCGTCATAAAACAATATTCACTCAGAAGATAATTTATTGATCACTATGTGAATTGCTCTCTTCCACAAGGGATTTTAATGTAAAATATATGAACAAATCATGAAAAGGACAACCTCAAAAAGTATAATAGGGCCCCTTTAAAAAAAAGGCAGATCAGCCATAGTTAAAGGAAGTGATTTAAATATGTTTTGTTGTGAATTTAATGTGGAAAAAGCTCTATATAAAACCTGAGCCTTAAGAATCATACATATATCACAACATGTGGTGCAATTGCTTATTAGCAAATCTACTTCTTCTTCATTCTCCTTTTGCTTCTTTGATGATAACCTGATAATCAGTAACATATTTATAAATCTTTTGCAGGGGTTGTAACAATACCCTTCAACTGGAAATCCAAACGTTACCCAATACATTTTGTGGCCAAAACTTTATAAAACCATGTCTACATTGAATACAAAAAAGGAAGTGAAAAGGAACATGCTACGTGTTTTCATCTCCCATGAGCATAAGTTCCCATGGCTGTCTCGACAAATAAGGTCTTAGATTGAAATTCAGCTTCACTTGAATGCACACACAGAGGGTTTTAAACAGCATGAACACACCCATGTATCAGGTGTGAGGATACATTAATAAATGATAAGAGGATCTCCTAATGAACAGTCTTACCTGTCAAGGCCAGGGCTAAAATGAGGATGATGACAGCCGTGAATAAAATGATGAGGGTAACCATACTGCAAGAGAAACAAAAACACAGGAAAGAATAAGAAGAGGTCATAATGCAACCTTGAGCTAAAATCTATTTAACAATCATTTTAAAGAAGTTTATATGTGTATCAGTAAAATGCATTCAAAGCGTCAACGGTAAAAGTATTCATCCTGCAGAGAAATGACAATGAATATTTTAACTACTCTGAAGTATGCTAGTCCAGGGTCACAAAATAAATCTGTGGGGTGGTGAAAAGATTATTTTTTTAGTTTAGAAGGAACTGTTGGTTCAAACAGCCGAAAATGTTGAGATCCACCAATTTAATATTAAACAAACATATTTGATCAAATAATATGGATTAGAAGGAGAGGTAAATAATGAATAAAGTACAAGTAAATAGCAATCCAGTACAAACTTTGAGTAAATATACTTGACACTGTAACCACCTAAATCTTACCAGTATTGAATCAACATCAATAAAGAAAAGTGGTGGTATGTAAGTACCTTTATTCTAGTATTGTCCTTAAATACCATACATTTTAATATACTTCTACTCCACTACATTGTAGGAGGAATAAAGTGCACTTCACTATTTATTTAATAACCATAGTGATAAACTTTTACGTACAATAACACATGATAGACGTTATGATATGATGCAGTACTCTATCTACACATTAAAGTTATTATAAGTGGCTCAACATTGACATACAAGATTAAAATGCTCTTAAATGCATTGGCTAGTGATAAAAACAAAATAATGTAATATTCTTCATCATATAATACTGTGAGGAGACATCCTGCATAATAAGTACTTTTTCTTTTGATACCATAAGTACAATTGACTGATTATATTCAGTTTTTGTGCTTTAGATCCAATTCCGGATTCTTTGTTTCATGAAGTATTTTGCAACCCTATAATTTCTACCACAAGTAAAGGATCTGATACTTTCCAGAAGTGGTAAAGAGCACCTTTAAAACCTAAGTCCACACCTGTAGAAAATGATCTGCCCAAGGGAAGCCATGTCTGCTGAAGAAACGTCTCGAGAAGAACTCAAAATTAAATCCTGGTGTTAAGTCAAAAGTCAAGTCATAACCTTCCTCCTAAATATCCTCCATTCCTGAAAAATAATCCACACACACTTCTGCCAAACAGAGTTGTTCTACTTCCACAGAGTGACAGTCTGCTGTTTGGCACTTTAAAGAAAACACCATGAGTAAATATTACCTTTAAGGCGTGGGCTGTCGTCACGGCAGCTCATTTATCTCATTAAAACGAAGGTGCATGCTACTTATTACCAAGCGAAGCCACCATCGATTCAGTAGCTTGTTTCCCAGAGTGGTGTTTTGTTGAATATGTTGTAAAAATGTGTAAAGTTTACTGTATGACATGGATTACGTTCTTATATAGTATTGGCTGCTGCTGGCTTTGTCAAGATAATCAGCATGCACAATTGCTAAAGAATGATAAGTACCCTGGGTTTCCTCCAATAATTTACTCAAGGTGGAGAAAATGTCAGTATGTCACGGTGAAAATGAGTCATAGATGACCACCAGCAGGTATGACATTCAAACTATTCAATGAAAGCATGAACACATATAATTATTCTAAGTTTAACAGGTTTTTCTATGGAAACGTTCCCACCATATAAAGCATTAACCCAATAAACAAGTGAATAAAAATACATATATTAAATTAACATCTATTTTTGTTGGATCCCTTGAGATTGGAATACTTACTTCACGCAGAGATGTCATGGTAAACAAAATGAAAGGCATACTATAATATCATATTTCTAAGCAAAACCAACTTAAGAGTTTTGGACATTTTTTACAAAATAAACTATTTAAAACAGGGATCAATTCTCGTGTTTAAAACAACCTGGTTTGATTGCAAATATGCTGATGCTGCAGGGAGAGAAAGAAACAAACACAATCAGCATTGGAAAGCACTGAAAGCATGGACGGAATACCCCATTGACCACTGAAAATGTTTGCCAACCATCAAGTCTGCATGTGACAGATGTTGTGAAATATGCCCTCAATGCAATACAGCGATGGGAAACAAGAAGTGGCATTAATTAAAATAAACTCTCAGGCGAGAAGCTAATTTCCAACAAAGAGAGCAGTCACAGAAGCTGATTGTTATATTAGTAGCACATAGTTTCTGACCTCTCACCCTTTTTGATTTGAACTAAATGTTCCAAACATTTATTGAGAGAGAGTGCTATCATCGTTCAATTACCCATAATGATTAACCAATCAGGACACAGGATACTTCAATGTTGACCCTTATTTAACCTAAAGACACAGCCACCATTTAGGAAAATTAAACACAACAGTTTTCTGATCATTGGAAAACTGTCAAACAAGGTTACCCACACTAATATTGGTCTTAAATAAATGCTAATTCTGTGATTTTTTCCCCCCTTAAAACCTTCCTTTGGGCCAGGGGCGTGAAGTGTGTATGTGTCTGTATGTGTGTGTGTGTGTGTGTGTGTGTACGTGTGTGTGTGTGTGCGGTTGTGTGGCTAGGCATGCCCTACTTCACTAAGCACAATGGTTAGTGTGCGGCTAATCATCACATAGCGGTCTATAGCCAATTAAAAATGAATGTTTTATGTCATCACCACTAATTCCACGTTTTGACCCAGGTGATTATTTTGTATTATGTGTGTTGTCATTTTACCGTTGTTCCATCATTGTGCGTTCGCTAACATCTTTATTTTGACATGCCAATCGACTCCACAATCGACACAACTCCCATTGACAAATGTCGACAAACATGGCGACATTTATGTTTAAAGCAATATTTCAGGAATTCTGCCAACATGCTTTCTTTTTGAAGGCCAAATGACAAAGTTGACAACACTGTGCATGAACTTTCACAAAATGTTAAACTACTCCTTTAGTTATGTAAATAGTACCTTAAGAAAATGTATATTAATAAAGATAATATCACCCATGTATTATATTTTGTTTTAACATAATTGTAAAATTAACAGCGAAAATAACTAGCAGACCAAATGAGGATGTCGTGGATCTGGGAAAATTCTTAGTTATTTGAGAAGTGAAAAGATATGGCTATAAAGTGCTGAGGGCTGGCACTTTGTGGTTAACATTTCTCATCCAAAAGTATTTAAAGGCAAAATGTAATGCAGAACATTCGGGTTGACTCCTTTGTTAGAGCAAACCTGTTAGAGCAAATCTATTGATATTAAGAAATAGAAGATAACTTAACTGGAGCTGACCCAAAATATCTTACAACTGAGCAATTATCTTTCAGTCAGCATGCCTCTTCATTCTCCTCAGAACCTTTTTGATCAAATAACCAGAGCTGTGAGTACTTTCCTGGTGATAGTTTTTTTTTTCACCCTGCAGTACATACTAGACATGGATTTTGTGTGCTCATGCAGCCACACTACAAGTATCCATTGTAACGGTGTACTGTACATGGTGGCGCCTCCTGTGATCCTCACCTGGGCTGTCAACAAGATTCAGTCTCTCCAACCAATGCAGATTTTTTCAAGAAAGCAAAGACTTATATACAACAAGTACTGCAGATGTTGTGTTAGGCTGCTGTTCAGCTTTTTCAGTCTGAATGGTGTATGGGCAGCTGCTGTTCTGGTTGATGGAGATTGGTACTTTTGCCTGATGACAAACCGCAATGAATCTCAGGTTGGAATTCCTTGCAAAGAAAAGCTGGACTACGACGAGAGACGAATTGAGGCCCATTATAAGTCTCAATCCATGGTAAGTAACAGCACACAGCACTCAAATATGTAAAATTATACCAAAAGTTTTTGGAAAAGGGAAATGTCTCACGTCAATCTTCATGCTAATGTAATTTATTTGACACATTTGGTCATATATTATGTTAAGACAATGTAAAGTATTTCGCATGTATGTTTTATTTGCTGATGTTGCCATGTAGCTGTCAAACAAATTGTATAAAACCACAGAAGAATCATATTTTCTGGAAAAGTTAAACTTTCGATAATAATAATGACTTAGGATGTTTATTATTGCACAGGCTACTTAAGTAAGTCATACCCAAGTTTTTGTCAAATTCAAGTTTGAATGAAACAACAAGATTAAACTTCTGTTAAATTTGAACCTTTTCTATTTTCTAGGATTATGGATATTATGTATTCTTCGGTGTCATTCTTTTTTGGATTATTGTTGAATTCATGACAATTCATTGTGGAAGAAAGAAGATGGATTGCTGCTGTGGCCTCTTCAAGCTGTGTAACACACCTTTCTACAAAATGGTTTATAAATATCGTCTGAAAGAGCAAGTCAATAGCTATTTACGAAAAGAGCTAAACAAGATAGCAAAAGAACAAGCAGAAGCAATCTGTAAGCCCCTCATTGAAAAAATTCACCTTGAAGAGAGTGAATCTAATAGAACAAGTAATGACAATGTAAGCATCAACATCACAGAATCAGAAGCCTGGTGGACCATATCAAAATGCTATTTGGACTCGATGGAACCTGAGGAACAACCGGATTTAGAAGCAAGACCACAGACGACAAACCAGGAACAATCATCAGGAAGCACGAAGTTGGCTGGCCCCTCAAACCAGGAACAATCATCAGGAAGCACAGAGTTGAATGGCTCCTCAAACCAGGAACAATCATCAGGAAGCACAGAGTTGAATGGCTCCTCAAACCAGGAACAATCATCAGGAAGCACGGAGTTGGCTGGCCCCTCAAACCAGGAACAATCATCAGGAAGCACAGAGTTGAATGGCTCCTCAAACCAGGAACAATCATCAGGAAGCACGGAGTTGGTTGGCCCCTCAAACCAGGAACAATCACCAGGAAGCACAGAGTTGGCTGGCTCCTTAAAACAGGAACAATCATCAGGAAGCACAGAGTTGAATGGCTCCTCAAACCAGGAACAATCATCAGGAAGCACAGAGTTGAATGGCTCCTCAAACCAGGAACAATCACCACGAAGCAAAGAGTTGGCTGGCCCCTCTAACCAGGAACAATCATCAGGAAGCAGAGAGTTGGTTGACCCCTCAAACCAGGAACAATCATCAGGAAGCACAGAGTTGAATGGCTCCTCAAACCAGGAACAATCACCACGAAGCAAAGAGTTGGTTGACCCCTCAAACCAGGAACAATCATCAGGAAGCACAGAGTTGAATGGCTCCTCAAACCAGGAACAATCACCAGGAAGCAAAGAGTTGGCTGATCAAGTAGCTTCAATATCAGGAAAGGAAATCAACTAAGTACATTTCCTTGTGTGTACAATGTTGAGGTACTTCAGGTAGTTAAGTTGAGTATTTTCGTTTTCTGATTATTTATAAGGAAACAATTATAATTTTGATTTAAAGGTCCCATGTTTTGGCCATTTCTACTGATCATAATTCCATTATTGAGGAAGAATAGATTTACATTGTTCAATGTTCCAAAATCACATTGGTTTTCTCATACAGCATCTCTGTATATTATGTGTATTCACTCTCTGTCCTAAACGGCTTGTTGGAGCTCCTGCCGCCCCCCCCCCCCCCCCCCCCTCCCTATGAGCCCACTGTGCTCTGATTTGTCAGCTCGCCCACTCTGTTCTGATGAGTCCACCACCGTTACAGTGGAACAGTGATTATGTGTTACAATGGCGTTTGTTAGCAACCATAAAAGCACACCAGTAATGACAAACAGATGAGAATGCTGCGTGGGGTCTGGGTGCCGTGTTGGCGGGACGTTGCGGGGCTCGCTGCTCTGCCCTGTGGGGCTCGAGGAGCGGACAGTGTGAGCTGGATTACTGGTGTCGTTTCCTGGTTGCTGCGTGGGGTCTGCGTGCCATGTTACACGGGAGACTCCTGAGCTGCTCGGGAGTCCGCCCTGGCAGAGGGTGTGCCTATTGTTCTACAGTATAGCTGTGTGCCAATTGGTCCAGACTTAGTGACGTCAATAGGCCCCGGAAGAAAAAAATGGAAAAAGACAAATCTACAACGAGGCGTTCTGGGGCAGCATAGACACGTCTTTTCTGTGTTAGAGTTTTACTCGCTACAGGGTGTACTTTGAGGGTTTGTGACTTTGAAGACCGTTTACATGCAGAAAAAGCTATAACACACAAGGGGACGCGTAATAACCAGAAAAGCATATGATGGGACCTTTAAATACTTTTAATGAATTAATTACTTAGTTTACCACTGCAAATTATAAAGTAAGCCATGATTTTTATATAATACAACTTTCACAATGGGATTTCCTCTTCCAATCTACAACAAAAAGGGTATGTTCAAAGAAAAATTATTATGCGACAGATGGTAAAACCTTCTCACAGATCCATTGCAAACTTGTGTTACAAGACAAATCATTCCAGTTCTTAGAATTCTGCCCTCCAGTTATGATATGTGCACAGTTCTCATCCCCGAGCTCTTTATATCCTCCACCGTTATCGGGTTGAGTCGACCGCCAGTACCTATCAGGGGGAAGACTTTGTTAATGTTTGACATGAACACAGCTTTTCAATCATGCATTAATCATCATGAGCTGCTGGGTTAAGCCTTTTTGTATTTAAATTCATCAACCTTTTGGTTTTGTCTTTGGTCTTTTGGTCATTGTTTGCTGTTACTAAACCAACTGAACTCTGCCCGCCCTGCAGCAAACAGCAGAGGGTTAAAGTTAGCATCCAGCCGGTGAAGATCATGGAACATTGAGCTACATTTGTAAACAGTGTAGTTTAAGTGTTTAATGACATACATGCACCTTTGCAATTGAAGTGAATGTTACATTTATAATGCAGGAACAAACACAACTCTGATCGAGGATGCAAATATGGCTTTGTGTCAGCTGGAAGTTTAAATACCAAAATGTATGCTAACAGGTTTTCCATACCAGCTATTTAAGATGAAAGCTAAGTGTTGTGTTTTCAGCTTGCCCTACGGTGGCCACAAATCCTCAATAAAAATAAATCAGATCCAAGTAAATCAAATCAAAGTAACTACATGTTGACTTCTGACACTCAAGGACCTTGTTTCTTATTATCTCCTCCTGATAGTACACCATATTCTAGACTGTAAAAAGAAAACATAAAATAAATTCTGTTTCCTTTTTGGAAATCAAGCTTTTGAGTGTTACAAGTAATGATTACTTCAGGTGTAATCTATTGGGATGTCCTAAAACTGCTGTGAATTTGTATATCCACAGTGTGTGTCTGTAAGGGTTCAAGCTAGAATGGTCAGAAATGAAAAAAGAAAAAGAAAATCCGTATTTTTCACATCATTCTGTTCAAGGACATCTCTAAAGCTGTGCTGTTCAAAATGTATTATCTGTGCTTTATATTGTTCATCTGAATATGTCTATATCACTGCCTTCTGATATGAGATAGTAGGTAGACGCCTGATTTAAAGAACCATTAAAACCATTGGTTGGTAGGTTAAATATATTTCACTGATGGTCTAATTGTCGGATTTCTTAAATGTACTGTTTCATGTGATTTAAAACATGGTCTATTATGGCGCGTTTCCACTACACGGCCTCGCTCGGCCCCGCTCGGTATGGCTGGGCCTCGTTAGGACTGGCTCACTTTATGGCGCATTTCCATTACAGTTTAGGAACTGGGGTAGTATCTATAGTAACGCAGTGTAGGCGGAGCCGTGACGTGATCTTCAGAGAACCCCAGAAAAACAACACAGCCGTTAGCTGTTAGCACTCAGAGCTCACAGCTCCTCATATATGTTCAGAAACTAGACAAAAGTTAAACAAATACAAACCACAGACTGCCTGTGTCATGGTGAATACAGTCGCTGCTTTATTTATGTCTGTATAGGCCGTTGTTGTGAGTGTGGACGGTCGGAGCATATACTGCGTTAGCTTAGCCAATCTCCATTTAGAACACACGCATTTTAAAAGGTTTTTCGCCTGCCGTCTGTCTGCAGACTTGACAAAGCATTAATTCATGGTTTTTACTAACCGGTATCAGTATGTTGTTACTTCGGCATCATTTTGAAACGTGTATTACAATTAAATCACGGTCAAATATTGACTGTTATTTCTGATTCCAATGATTTACAAATGCCGACCTAAAATAAATAAATGGGGCGAAGCCTGCGAGCTAGTTCAGGCAGTCAACTCGAGCACCAATCAGACATTAACACGTGACGCAAACACATTCTCCTAAACATGCTGCTAGGTCTTCCTGCCTCTGCCTCACTATGCTGCTGCTGCCACTGCTGTGTTCACTTGCTATTGCCAAGTTCATGTTCCTGCTGCTGTGTTTCATGTTGCTGCTACTTGCCTGTCCCACCACCACCCCAGCTTCCACCTGTAGGCTCGGGGGATAGTTATCTAATCATCACTCAATGTTCTTTGTAAATCTGTGGAGTGATGAGTCCCGAGCCTAGACGCCAAACTCAAACTATATGCTGCTTCTAATACATATATTAAGAAACGCGTGAGTTGTCTGGCTGAACTTACAGTAATATAAAAAAATTGTGTTTGTTTAAATTCAACCCAAATGCAACCCATGTCTGCCTTACAGTCAGTGGAGCTCCATCTATCCACAGCCAGCTCTTCTCCTGGACTCTGTCAGTCAAACCGATCCAAGCCCGATCTCCCTCAGTGAAGTTAGAGAGGAACATCTGTGCAATAAAATATAGAGTCACAGTAATACTTTTGTGATTTTCATAAAATATATATTATACATTACAAGAAACATTAAAAACAACTTTGATTATCTAATAATGCAATATGCAAAATGCTTGTTTTGCTCTTTGTTGTTTTGAAATGTAGATTTCATTAAAAAACACTGTCTATACCAGTTGGGGGATCTTTAAATAGTTTGGTTTAAACTGCACGGCTGTCTTCTGTTTCTCTGATACATGTTGTATCAAGATTTTGAATGTTTTGAATTAAACTTTTTGTATTCCTTAAGATTATTTGTCAGCGTTACTATTATTATTATTCAGTTTTGTTGTAATTCGTCATTAACAGCAGAACATCTTACTTCTGTAACATGACATCACTATGTAACACTTGCGCTTCTATTGGCTAACGCTCCAACACATTGAACGTGATAGGCTAAGGGGCGGGACATCTCTAAGCGGTTGACCAATCACAACAGAGCCGGCCAGCTGACCAATCAGAGCAGACTGGGCTCTGGTTTCAGACAGAGGGTGAAAAGAGGTGCTGCAGCACAGGCAGTCTGAGAAAAATAAAGAGCTTTTTAAACATTAAAGCATGGAGACATGTCCCAGTAGAGATACAAATATGAACCTGAAAATGAACACATTATATCCTCTTTCAAAATAATGTAATTCATTGATTACGTACAATGTATACACTTGCTTTAAGTGGCATTTTGCTTAACAACAAAATCATTGTCTTACTTATGTAATTTCCAGATAATAGTCTGGCACTTATTAAATGTATTTATTACAATCTAATTGTCCAACTACATACACTATACATAGATTTTTTAGAAAACGAGTAGTATGTACCTGTTCTTCAGCGCTGCCTATGACCACCAGGTCTGCTCCTGAGTCCCTGCACTCCTCTCTGCCTTTTCCCCGGGATCCAGTCTTTTAGAAAGGTGATAACAGGCAGAACTGAACATCCTCCATCCTGCAGGACAAGATCTCCCTGAAAGAATCGCTAAAGAGTTATTGCCAAAGGTCCAGTATTCAGAATTATACAGCCATATTTTGTACACAGCATAAGGGAGTTTCCAATAAATGCATTCACATTTCTAGATGTGGCTGCTTTGAGTTTAACGGTGAGTCTCTTTAACCTCACCATCTCACCCTTATCTTGTACACAGGAAGTGGGGTTGTTAAGACGGTATGAACATGTTGTGGGTTTCATGTCATCCTGTCTTTGAATAAAGAAAAAAAAAGACTTACTACTGTGCTGTTGTCTTTTTCCCTTTCGTTTTGCTGTTGACCCTTTGAATATAGTTTGGCAGATAGTATTTTAATTTGCAGACATTAAGAGGATGATGCCAAATCGTGATGCTGCTTTTGTTCACCTAACTGATCATTATGTTTACATGAGATAACAAGAACATGTAGAATTATTATAAATCAGTCTTCAGAAGATGAAATATACAAATATATAATGAACTCATGAAAAGAAGGTGTCACAACTGTTGTTGAAAGTGTGAGTGCAAACCTGTTTAATATAGTGCAAACAACATGCCTGCTGCTTTAAAATCTACACCCTTGATTCTTCCTGCATGCAACTCATTATAGAAAGAATGTCAGGAATCTGGTTATTTAGTATTTAAGGTAGGTGACAAACATTTGCACCAAACTGAAATATGAAGACT